ATTAGTATGCAATGAACCCAGTCTCATCATCCAATCATTGACATGTGGCAGACTCGCAGATAACAATGTCGTGCAATGTGGTGACGTAGTCAATCCAAATTATCCATTGCAATAAGTCCACCAGTTTGAAGTCATTGAGGTACATGTTTCCTCATTATCACGTGTATGTCTCAAAGTCCACAGTATCCAGAAAAGACGAGGGGAGAATAGACAGTTGGAAGGAGAAGTGTGACACAGCAATGAAGGCCCTCTTCTCCTTCAGTCTCCCCACCTCTGCCACGTCAGCAATCTGTATGCAATGCACCACATCAGCAATATGCGCTCAATGTGCAACGTCAGCACTCGTACTCAATGTGCCACGTTAGTAATCTGTACTAAATGGGCCACATCAGCAATGGGTACTCAATGCGTGATGTCAGCAATGGGTACTCAATGGGCGACGTCAGCAATAGATACTCTGTGTACCGCCTGGGTGATGTGGAAGCAGCCCCTCGCAGATAAACGATCCTCCAACAGCGAGCAGAATCCGCAGCAGCTTCACATCTGAAGAAACCTGGTACTGTTGGTACGTAAGGCGCATGGCAACTCATATCACCCACACTCGATCTCTCCCTCTCCTCATTCCCTCACCATCATCTACGGTCGCGGCCGTCCTCTCCCTCTCTCTATACGATCATAGTGTCTGGTTGGCGCCCATCAAGCAGTCTGGCGCCAGCACCTCCTCTCAAGTCTCACGAGCAGCGTCATAGCCCCAAGCAACTTGTAAGACTGAGTATCCAAGCAGTGGAGCGGTCAACATAATATAGTGAAGACTCTCCTGTCCTTGGTCAGCGTCTGTCCATGTGGGGGCCCGGATCTTCCTATTTGTCCCAGTTTCGGTCTAGAGACTCTAGACTCCTTGAGGCCTGAATCTTCTGGAACCTGCAGACCACCGTTAGATCACTCCAGATGGATGGCCAGGAAATCTTGTGTGTTGACTTTGACTTCTCGGATCTGGATCTGGGTCCACCAGCTCACTGTTGACTTTTTTTTTTTTTTTTTTTTTCAGACTAGTCTGGAAGGCCTGTGAAAATTTCACGTAAGCTGCTTACGTGTGCTCAGCCCACGGTATTCTTTAGTAAAAGGCAAAAGAATAGTACGC